ATTGGTGGGACGAGTTCGAATTTCCACTGTGGAAAATTTAAGGTTCCGTCACCAGTCATCTTGAACAAAGTAACGAATAGATGATTGAGTGCATGAGCAATCCCCTTGAATTACTGAATTCTCAGGGGATCATTGCTTGTTAATATTGACAGAAAGATGGCCTACATATAAAAAAATGCAGTTTGTTTTAAATTAGCGTTCCATTTCCAATTGTCTATACTTTTTTTTATTGTTTTATCATTTTATATCATTTTATTATTATTTTATTTTATATTATTTACATTCATTTTAAAATATTTTAAATTTTATTATTTTTATATTATTATTATTTTTATTTTATTTTCATATTCTTTTTTTAATTTTTAATATTATTATTATTTTTATTCTAGTTTAGTTTTCCGTCAACTAGACTGGTTGCCTTCCTAGAGAACTCATTCTTCCCTGCTATTGAACTGTGGTTAGAAAAAGAATAGATGGATTAATATCTTTCGTCACACATTATGAAAAGGACAAAGTCCGACAATTATTTTAAGACATTTTAAATTCAACCTTGCTAACCGAACTATCCTCTGTGGCCGAATAATTGTCGGACTTTGTCCATTTCATAATATGTGACGTCTTTTGTTTACATTTGGATGCGCTTTGAGCAGATATGAATGTATGTGAGAGAATCATGGAAGATTGAAGACAGTAAAATCGACCTTGCTAACGGAACGCTCCTCTGTAGCCAAATCGGTTAAGGCATGTCAAGCTAAATGATGGTTCCATATAGGATACAGGTTCGAATCTTGTCGGAGGACGAATATTTTCTATGGAAATTTCTCGGACATTCAGGCCGGTAAATGTTGTTTAATACTGTTTATTATAAACAGAGCATTTGCTTAAATATTTGTATCTATAAAAAGAATGTATAAACATAAAAATGTCTTAAATTAGTATCTTTCCCAAGGTATTTGTGTGAAAGCGAATGCAAAGGCCTCGGTTGAAATTTGAATCATTTTTCACTCTTTCTTCTCCGACAACGGTTACACTACATTCACATATCACTGTTTCATATACAAGGTGACCCAAATGTAGTCTGAAAATTTAATAATTTTTTGTTTATTTTTTTTTTTTTTCTTTCATGCGTTTTTATTAAAGAGGCTTTGGAAATTAATTATACAATACACAACTGAACAACGAACAGAGAAGGTTTTTTCTATATACCAAAGCAAAGCTCAATAATTCAAACAACGAGCATAGTCGACATGGTGTGAGAGTAAATATTCAATAAGACCGCCTCCACGAAGTGGCATACCATGTTTGGATAAGAACGAAGGAGTATATGAACGTGTATCGAAGAACATCTAAGCGTATCACCTCTAAGATGGCCTCCATAGTTCTGGATCTCTCGAACGTCATATCAACGATTTCTTAAAAGCATCAACCTGTTTCTGTATAACAAGATGTGGCGACAGCGCAAATGGCAAGAGTCACAATATTCGGGTAAATTTAGGGGAAAAGAATAATTTCTGACGGTTGTGGCATAATTTTGCCACCACGTTCATCGGATTTGACAAACCCTAATTGGGCTATCTAAAAAATGTTTATGTCAACAAGCACCGGACTCCCCGACAACGAAAAGAGAACATTCAGACAACCATCAAAGCAACAGAGCTTGAAACACGGTGGGCTGCGTGTAGCATTTCAGCTTAGACCTGACACTAAGTTTGTTCTAAGGGTGCAGTTTCTTCTAGTCGAACACCTGTGGATTAAAAATAACTCTTTGGCCAGGTCGTTACTCACGAAATAAAAACCATATATGACTATTTCCTATGGTAATTTACCCACGCACCCATGGACTTTCCCAGCTATAAATAGGAGCAGGTACTGCCTTTTGAAGAGGGAAGTTACCAGCAGTCAGCTCTAACAGTCGGACCGAATATTCTTGCTGTAACACTCTCGTTTTTATATGTTTGTATTACTGTTTCTGTTAATATATTTGTTTAATTCAATTCCTCTCTTTGTGTCTTTAGTTCTGGTCCTAACAAGGCCACAGCACTATTGTAGCAGTAAGCACATTTTAATCTGGTTGTAACCTTCTGCTGTAGACGAGCGAGGCAGAGACGGAGCGAGGTGAGGTGAACAGTCAAACGGGCGTCTACCGTTTCGTGTCGCGGCGAGCGGTCTCTTGTCTCTCTCTGTCCGCTCGCTGAGTCTCTGTTTTCGGCTGATGTTCTTTGTCTTGACATCTTTGTCTAAAAAAGTAGTTTGTCAAGAACTTAATGTCTGGCTTCACTCAGAGACCTTATTTGTCAGGGTCGTTTGCTATGGCCCTTGTGAGGTTCACTTCACTTAGCTGATAATCTTTCGGACAATAAGTGTCTGACCAATTTTTAGGACATCTTTAAGATGTTTTTATTTAACAAGATATCAACTGACACTGACATCGTTACATGTGGTAGAAAATGCCTTAGACAATGCACGTTCGTGAGAAGCTTAAAATGCACGCCACTTAAAAGATGTAACCTTTCTCAACTAGCGTAAATTTATTTCCCATATTTGATCTATATAATATTATGGTATTGTGAATTAACGTAAGAAATAAAGGTGTTATTAAATTTGGAAATCCTTTTTGCATATCCTGCTAATTCATCATTTGCTTGTAAACATTTTTTTTTGTCTTGTATGAATATGAATCAATTTGTATTGCAAGCGTCAGGTAAAGTCATTATCACCATAATTAGTTGCTTGCATTATATTTATAAATTATTTTACAATAACATTGAAAAATCAATGTTGTCTAATTAATCAAAACTCAGTGCCTATTTATTTGCTAATTCTGCTTATTGTCCTTTGCAAACATCGTACCCAGGGAACTGTTGATATTTAAGATCTAATTAACCAGGATACGCATCCTGTATGCTATTTGTTTACAACCCTGGTGGGGTAATGGATAGTGGCTCGGATTGAGGAATCGGAGAGTCGAGTTCGAATTCCATTACATTAACTTACCTGCTAATATCCTCCTCCTCATCCTAGCCTTGAACTGGCCTACCGCAGAAAGAAATGGCTTTCTACTGCAGGAAAATATCTGCCTCGTCAGTCATGTATCGAAAGATACATGATCGCCTAAGCGTATATCAAGTATGGCACATAACTGACTGATATTCACTTACGTGCAAATACCCTTGAGAAAGTTATGAATCCTCCTCTTAAACCAGCTATGGGTAAATAGGAGGACAGACCTGGTTCTATAGCCTTGGATGTCAACTGGTCTACCGCAGAAAAAAATGGCAACCTACTGCAGGAAAAAAATCTACCTCGTCAGTCATGTATCGAAAGATACATGATCGCCTAAACGTGTATCACGTATGGCACATAACTGACAGTAGGAAGTAGCATCTATACATATGAACACGTAAGAGAGGTTCTATTTCATTCACATATCTTCTTGTGGATGATTTTAAACAATTCGAAGTATTATTCTATATAACCCGTCTTAGTAACAGTTCTATTATAATCTGAAGATAGTTGCCAATATGGCTGTTATGTTGTTGATTTGGGGTTAGTAGAGACAAACGCCAAATAACACGTAACAATAAAAAGGGTTTTAATAGGTTGGTAAAAAAGGTACAGAAATCGCCTGAGTAGTCAATAACTAGCTCAGCTAAGAACTTCTCTATCTTTCTTCCGTCATGTCAACTGACATGCCACTATTTAAAGTCTTTGTTCACAGACACAGATAAGTTCATCTTCAAGAGGGGTGGTAGGTTTCCGACACAACAATGGCTTTCTACTGCGGGAAAAAAAATTCCGTTGAAATATGTGGTTGTTAGCAAAAGAGTCAGTACAACATGCAAACTAAACATTTGAGTTTTTACTAAAAATATCTTTTGTCTATTGTTTTTGTGGTTAAAATAATTTTTAAAATTACTTCCGGATCACCTAAGAAAAAAGTTTATTCACCCTAAGGTATTCTAGTGATAATTATAAATTTGGATATAAATGAGATTCTTGAAAAAACTCTGTGCAAAAAAAAAGTGACTCAGATGTCGCATTCTAACGATTAAACTGGTCAATTTAAAGAACTTTTGACAAAATATTGAAAACTATTTTATAATACACTCAAAACAATATTCTAGAGAATTCTAGAACAGCTTAAAGTAAATCTAGAGTATTCCAGAATATTACAGAAAACCTCATAGAGTATAAAAACAGCTTGAAATAGCCACTAACCAGATGAAAGTGTACAAAGACGCATCGGAACCACTTAAGGCATCTATTATTGCCCTCTCAAGCAAGTATAACAATTTAAATATCTGTGAAGATTTTTTAACGGACGACGGAAAAGTGCGATACTGAAACCCGAAGGTGCATTGGGATAGCGAAAGATGCCTTCCAAAAGCTAAGAAGAGTATTAAGAAACAGAAAACATCATTAGAAACAAAGAAAAGAGAGCTGAACAGTTACGTAATATCAGCTCCCTATATATCAGTAAATTCTGGACAATCTCCTCACAGAAGAGACTCAAAACAACAGAAATATGGTACTTCAGAAGGATACTGAGAATACCATGGATTGAACATGTGAGCAACGATGAAGTTTTAGAGAAAATGTAAACAAAAAGGAGACTTATACTTAACATAAGGAAGAGACAGTTGACATTTCTGGTGAACATAATGAGGAAAGAGGGCTTGGAAAATTTGATACACAGAATGGATTGAAGGCAAGAGGGACAGAGGAAATCAACGTATGAACAACTTATTGAGATTGTGCAAATGGATGGCTGAGAAAGGTTTAGGAGAGATAACAAAAAGACAAAAATTATTAAGCGCTACAAAGGAAAAGAAATTGTGGAGAGCCATTATCACCAACGTCATGAAGGGACACGGCACATACAAGAATAATAAGCTTGTGTAAATGGATTGTAGAGCAAGGTTCAGGAGAGGTAACAAAAACACAAAATTTAGTAAGAGCTACAAAGCAAAGGAAATTGTGGAGAGCCATTAAAGTCAACGTCATGAAGGGATACGGCACATAGAAGAAGAAGAAGAAGAAGAAGAAGAAGAAGAAGAAGAAGAAGAAAGAGGAGGAGGAGAAGGAGGAAGAAGAAGAAGAAGAAGGAGGAGGAGGAAGAAGAAGAAGAAGAAGAAACAGGAGGAGGAGGAGGAGAAGAAGAAGAAGATGAAGAAGAAGAAGAAGAATGATACAATCAAAGTTATCAAACAATGGCATGAATACTTACTTGTTTTATTGTAGACCGTCAAATTAGCCATGGAATCTTTGGAGAAAGTTGAATTAAAATTCACCCTTAATTTATACAGTCCTAGCAAGAAAAAGAAAAAGAAAACGTTTATATATTTTAAACAAGTTGATAGATTTTGCAAGTTTTTTTGCCATCGGTATAAAGAAAATATAGAGAATAATATAATATACAATTGCCAAGAAGGATTTCTTTGTTTCGCGGCATATCAACTTCTCATGGGTCATTTGTAGCTGAAATTTAAATTTCTTGGGAACACTAGTCATTTCAATTCCAAAATATTTTGCTGCTAATTTGTTCCCTTCAAAAATATATTGCTCCTAATTTTTTTCCAAAAATGTATTGCTGGTATTTTTACTATGAAAATGTATTTCTATACTTCCATAGTATTTGACCCCAGTAACCATTTTTGCCAGTGCTCATATTGCAATTTTGTTGTTATCAGTCATGTTTTTACCATAGCTCATATTGCAACTTTGTTGTTATCATTGCTTTTCTCTGGCACTCCTTATTACTGGTTCCCATATTGTATTTATTTCTATGCTTGGACCAAGATATCGCATTCTAATGATTAAACTGGTAAATTTAAAGAGCTTTTGACAAAATATTGAAAACTATTTTACAATACACTCAGAACAATATTCTATAGAATTCTAGAACAGCTTAAATTAAATCTAGATTATTCCAGAGAGCCTCATAGAGTATAAAAACAGCTTGAAATGGCTACTCAAGTGACTAACCAGATGAAAGGGTACAAACACGCATCAGAACCACTTAAGGCATCTATTATTGCCCACTCAAAAGCAGACAAGTCTACGAGAGAAATTGCAGAAATTGCTATAACCTCACAATCAACTGTCTCTCGAGTGCTGAGGGCATATAATGATGCCACTTCTGTTCCAAGGAAGGAAACAAGGGGACGAAAGAAAAAGATTGATGATAGAACTGGCAGGGTAATCAAGAGAGAAGTTGCGAAGAATAGGACTATAACTAGCCAAGAAATTGCAGCCAGTCTAAGCGAAGAGCAATGTGTTAGTCTTGCCTTTTCAACAATCCGTCATAACAATGCTACAAATCTTGTACACGAAGGTTTAAGCCGCTAATAAGCAAAGCCAACAAAGCCAAAAGACTTGAATGGACTCACTATTACAAAAATTTCACCAAAGAAGACTGGAAGAATGTTTTCTTCTCCGATGAAACGAAAGTTGAGCTAAATTCAAAGGATAAGGTCAGTCACTTTTATCGAACAGCACTGTACATACCTTTTACATCTTTTACCATCGGGCGTGATCTGCTTTGTTAAATTAGCAATATTCCAGAGGTAGAAATTAGAACGTGCTAGATAGCAATTTCAGAAAACGTGATGGTTTTTTATTTATTAATCCGACAGATTTTATTACTTAAACGCTATTTATAGAGGCTACCCATATTTGAGTAGACGTTCCGTTTATTTATTAAACAATTTATTTATTTTCGCCTACCGGCCTGAATATTCGAAAAATCTTACTAAAGGAAAATATACGCTTCTCGGTAAGGTTCGAACCTTCGACCTCCTTGGCTGGAGAAACCGTCGTTTGATTCGACGTGCTTATACCGACCCAGCTATGGAGTTCGTCTCCGATCGAGCAAAGTTGAATAGTGTGTTATAAATGCAAATCTTTCTCCGACTCAAGATTCGAAACTGCGACGCGTTTTCTCTGGCTGGAGGACAAAATTATACAAATATACTGCTTAAGAAATAAACGGAGCGTCTACTTAAATATGGTTATCCACTAAAAATAAGGTTTCAAGTAGCTGCTATCGTCTTTTTTGGTATTTATGGGGGTTTCCTTCCTAGCCTTTTTGTTTGAATTAGTGTGGAAAACTAAGAGTAGATGTGAAACTTAACAGCATTCCAGATAGTCCAGATGTAGAATTAGTAACATTCCAGATATCAAATGACAGACATCTGGAAGTCAGACGCTTCAAAAGGGCAAAATATTGTGGATCTGGTTGATCTACTGCCAACGGACTAATCGCGTTCAGATTTACATGGCGCACTTAAAAACAGTTTTAGAAAATAAAGTAGATCAGTTGATAAAAACTCATTTAAATATTCAGCAGTTGTTTCTTTAGGTATTACATCAAAAGCTTCGATTCTAAGCTTAGTAGGTGATTAAAAGTTGACTGAAACATGTCGTTGTATACTTGGAATATTTATTTGAGCTTCGATCATTAGATCGTCATTGTGGTGTGACATTATGATGTGGAATCCGACGGAGCGATCAATTCATCGAATCGGTTGTCTTGTTTTTGTCGTGCATATAGAAGCAATATTGAGTATTTTCAAATGAACGAAAATAAATAGATCGATAAAACACTTGCGGACATACCCGGTTCCAGCGTGACCGTCATTTGAAGGAAAGTCGAGTTTTTTATTTTCCAAACAGTGTCATTGATTTGGGAGCCATTTTTCAGCAGGAGCACTGATATAATCGGGTTAAATCCGGCGCCAAAAACATCGATCTAAAAAGAAAAAAAAACGAGTTATTTGGTTTGCATGATATACCAAATAAAAACCCTATTAATATTTCACTATCAACAATACAGAGCTCTTCCATCGAGAATCAATTGTACAGGTGAGGTGATTACAACTTTTTTTCTCTTATAAGCCAGACCCCTTCAGGACGAGGGTAGTCATGGCTCTCTACAACTTCCTATTCTTTATAGTTCTAATTAACGTGCATCTTCTCTTAGTATCATTCCCAATCTTTATTCTGACATCCAGTTCGGTCGGTTGCTAACAGTTTCCCATATTAAACGCTGAAAATGAGGAGCGCCCCCCCCCTCGGTTGGGGCATTTGTTAACAAGGTAAGCTAGCAGGATATGTCTAATTAATAAGTTCTAACCTCACTTACTAATCCGAAATCGTAGTCTTGAGACAGAAAATTTAGCTCAGAAATATTAAAAAAGTAATAGAAAGAAATAGATTTAGTCCGAGTTGATGCCGAAAATTCGACCAGTTGACGCAAACCAAACCAAAGGAGAAAACATCAGGTTTATAAAATAGAAAAATGGGAGCTGGTAATATACATACTTATATTTGATATGAAAAAAATCTAAATAATTTAAGTAATTCTATTACATTTACTTGTTTTAAATAGAAATATAGTCTATTAGTAATTAAGAATAAAAATATTTTAAAATTGTAGTTAAATAAAACGTATTATAACCCAAACACCCCTAGATAGAATCTTTAAGTATATAAGAACGAAAAAAATCCCGAAAACCTTTTTGCCGTTAAAAAAACAAAACAAAAAAAAAAACAAACAAAAAAAGCAGACGACATACGTTGAACGGATGTCAGAATTCGTTGAAAAATACACCCCTACCCACCCTAAACTTAACCTCTTTTTCGAACGTAACTCATAATTGATACAATAATAGTTAATAAAAATGAACACACTACTGCCCCTGTCTAAATGATTGGATTTCTCTGTATCCTGGGAAACAGGAAATTATGAATTTATATGTGCGTTTAAAACTCAGTAAATTTAAAAATAAGTTATTACAAAATTCGCTTGAAGATGAAACAGAACTAATGCTTTTAATTTAATTATATAATTAAATTTGAAGTTTTTAGCTTCAATTTTTTAAACAGTTTTATTTTGTAGCGAAAAACACATGTTTTAAATCAGTTAATTCATAATATTTATGCTCGGTAAATTTACATTGAGCACTGTTTTGTAAAAATAAAAATAAAAAATATCAATAAGAATACCGGATTATATTTCTTACTGTTCTTTTTTTTTATATATATATATATATATATATATATATATATATATATATATATATATATATGTATGTGTGTGTGTGTGTGTGTTTGTGTGTGTATGTGTGTGTGTGTGTGTGTGTGTTCGCAAATGTTTGAAGCCATCCCCAGAATTAGTATGGAAAATACTTGACTGAAAAGTTCTTAGAGTGATTGAAAAAAGAATGGAATAAATTAACAAACTTATGCTTTGAGAAAAATTTGCAACGAATGCCAAAAATGTGTGCTGCAGTAATCAAAACTAAAGGAGGCTATTTTGACGAGAGCAAAGTTTAATCATAAAATGTTTTCTTTTTCTTTTTGTCATAATAAAGTTAGTAATAAAAACCATTTCTCACTTTTTTTTTTAACTATGTATAATAATTTTCTCTTATTTAAAGTACAAAACCACTACATATTGGGCCAATTTAAAAATTACCGGAGGTGGTCTCAAACTTTTGAACAGTACTGTATGTATATGTACTGGATGCATATATATGTATATATATATATATATATATATATATATATATATATATATATATATATATATATTTCATTGAATAATATAGACATATTAGGTCTATTTATTTTTTATAATAATCCTTTCTTGTTCTCGAATTAGTTTCTTGATGTTACGATGAATTTCATCCAGGCGGGCGCCGTATTTTTTGCTCAAGTATTTTCAATCTCCTCCAAGATCATTCTCAGGGGTGAAGTGTGAAGACACATTTATTGTAACTGTTGATCGTTATGGGGTTGATCGTTAAAAACACGCGTGAACGTGTTTTGTTATAATTACTTTTATATTTATCCGTTATATCTATGGTGCTTTTGCAAACAAGCGCCCACAATATAAGGGATCTAACCAGAGATGGTAGAAATGCAATATGGCATTAAATGTTGATCAAATACATTTTAAAACATTGCTGCTACACTCGGAATAAATTTTGTTCAGTGTTAGTTGGTTGAGGAGATCGAAAGTACTTGGGTAAAGAAAAACTATTGCCTCTTCTTTGATGAATTTTAACTTAATATTAAGAAACTGATTGGACAACTAGAAAGGATTATTATAAAAAGAAATAGACATAATATGTCTAGATTAGTCAATGAAACATGTTTGAATGAAGATATGAAGTACACACACACACATACAAAAACATACACATACACACATATAAACAAGAATTTAATACTTACAGAATATGAATACTGATTCAAAAATAAAATCGAAGGCATTTTTAACTCTAAGACTCCTTTCGGCTAGCAATTCGTCAGAATTAAAACGTTAGCATATTTTATGACGATAAAAAAAGGAAAAAGGTTCGTGAGTACTATTTCTTTTTTTTATTTTATACTCACTTGAAACTATTTATCGTTTATTCATAAATTATTTTACGAATAAATATATTTTAATCGTGTTCCATAATTTTCGCATTACTGTGTGAATTGTCATTTTCTTTTTTCTTTTTTTTCTTCTCTGGTCATAAACTACACCAACGTTTTCCTTCCGACGAAGTGTTGGCCAAAAAAAAAAACTCAAGGGAAAAATGCCTTCGTGCTTTTAAATCGGTATATATATATATATATATATATATATATATATATATATATATATATATATAAAGGTAAACATAATCCAAGTGAATCCTAATAATATAATATAAAATATTAAAATTGATCCACAAAGAGAGCACGATGTATTTATTAAAACAGAGCATATATAAATTACATACATATGAATTTAAAACTACTCCATGGTAATGATCATTTCACCTTACTAAATTAGTAAGGATTTTCAAACCTTTCTAGGTAAAATAAAAGATAAGATAAAATAAAAATATATTTTTATTTTATTTTTTATTTTATCTTATCTTTTACCTATAAATGTTTGAAAATTTGAGGACAGTGTTGAGAATTCAAAAAGTGTTTCATGAGTCTAATTGTGATTACGAAGGTGTTTGGAGTGATGGCGACGTTACACCTCCATTCATCTTCCCACAAGGCCTCGGACTCAATACGGAGGTCTACGGAGGTGTTAGTACTGACCTGGGTCAAGAGGGTGGCTGCTGGAAGGCCATCTGTCTGACAACAGGACTCTGCACCTTGCACACAAGCTCCTTACATCTAGCCACCTAATTCACCAGACTGCAACCGCCTTGATTATTATATGTGAAGCGCAGTTGAGCAAAAGACCAACAAAACTCTTTGTAACATCAAAGGCAAGGATTATGGCAGCATTCACCATCTTAAACAATGTGATCGTCCAGAAGAGTTGCAGGAGATTCCGAAGTTTTCTGGGGGCCGTAGTTGAAGCCAATGGTAATTTTATTGAATAAATTTATTCTTTAGTGTTTCAAGATATTTTTGTTCAATTTTGGGAAATATATTTGTTAAAATGAAATGCCAGTGTTATTTTCATTTTTCGCGTAATTTAGACAATTTACCCATCGCACTCTATATATATATATATATATATATATATATATGTGTGTGTGTGTGTGTGTGTGTGTGTGTGTGTGTGTGTGTGTGTGTGTATAAAGTGTGTATATATATATATATATATATATATATATATATATATATATAAAATTTATATATTATATGCATAGTACTTATTAAAAGCGCCCAATATCAAAGATAGAGCTAACACACACACACACACACACACACACACATATATATATATATATATATATATATATATATATATATATATATATATATATATATATATATTTTAGTGAGTATTCTTTAGGAACACGGTTCATATAGATTAACCTATGAAAAAAGATTTTGTGCATAATTACAGATATCTTTATTAATTAAGTTTAACATATTTCTTTCAATTGTATCACTTTAGGGATACTTAGTGAATTTCTACTTCTTGTAATGAACAATTGAATCTTGTATGCAGACATCCACCTTTGAAAATCTGTGCCATTGATACGCAAAATTCAATTTGAAGCAATCTTTCTGCACAATAAAATGCTATGACACTAAAACTAAAATGTTAATGGGATTTTATTCAAGCATTATAAAATAAGATAAAGGGTAAAATGAATTATATAATAGAATATAGGAAAAACGGTATTATAAAAAAGGATGGAAAGAAAAAACTCATTATAAAAGAGAAGAGAAAAAATGAAACGCCTTGTAAAAAGGATAGAAATAAAAAAAACGGTTTATAAAAAACAATAGCGAAAAAATGTATTGTAAAAAGAGTAGAAGTACAAAGCGTATTATATGAGAAAATAGAGGAAAAATACATTATAAAAGGGAATAGAAGAAAAGGCACTTTATTATAGAGAACAAAGGGGAAAACATTATAAAAGATAATGGTTGAAAAAAAAACGCATTCTAAAAGGCATGATTAAAAAACGAAGAGCGAGAATAAAAAGTGTATTATTATAGTAAACAAAAGGACATTATAAAATATAATAGGTGAAAAAATATTTATAAAATTTAACTGAGGGAAATGCGTTATGAAATCAAGCAGAAGTAAAAAAAAAACAAAAAAACCCGCATTGTGAAACACAAAAGAAAAATGCCTTATAAAACTGCGCATTATATAAAAGAAAACAGAAGAAAAAAGGTTGTTCCTTAACATCACTTGTTTCAAACCTTTGTGGTTGAAGATGGTATAATTCGAGGCCAAAAGGAATCTAAACGGTTGCAACTGGAGCCATTTCCACCGCAAATACCACAGCTATCATTTCGGAGTGTCCTTTAACAAAGAGAAAATAAAAGTAATTAAAAATCAGAATTCAGTCACAGTTGTTATTTAGCTTAGTCTGTTACAAGGTCACAAGTATGGCATACCCAGGAAAGATCGAACACAATACTCGGTCATAATGGTCAACCAGTTTACCTCGCTAAACACTACCCGACGCTAAGTTACCTAAGCTATTAAAACTAATCATTACATGAAAATAAATTTGCCATAAGATCACACAATGTGGAACACAAAACCTGTACACTTATTAGTATTGATTATAAAATGAACTGTCCTATTCGGCCGCAACAATCTAGCCCCATACACCTGGACGAAATATAACGATATATGGACTTAGATTCTCTGACATTACTTAGAAGAAACCACTGGTACTAGAATGTCGAGATATAATTCTACAAAATATATAGATGTAAGAACTTGTACATATATACACATACGCGCACATGGTAAAATGGTAAAATATCGTTGGCTCACCGTTGGTTCAATGGCAAAAGTTTTGCCAGGATCCATTTGTAAGATCCACCAGATTTCTACCCCTCACAGCCAAGAGCCATTTTGCCACGTATACTGCGACGCACCATTTCCTTCCTATTTCATTAGAAAGAAGGAATTTCTACTTGGACAGCTTCTTCCCAAGCACTACTATTTTAGGACTAGATTCACGAGAGGATTCTTTCCCGATCACAAACAAATCTTAACCTCTTGAAATCTAGGGTTAACCCCTATATCCTCATACACTGCATTTCGTATCTACTCTTCTTTCTGAACCTGAGTTCATCAAACACTGTTGTTATTGATCGTGGATGACTTCGACTGAGAAGTGTTTCAGTTTGAACTCATCAAACATGATGGCAGGAAAAGTTAGTCATCTTTGCTCCGGTAGCAAAAACAAAGTCAAAATAGTTCAAAAACTCCAATATCAGCCACTCGCACCACAAAGTAGATGCACTATTTCAAAACGAGATAAAGTCTAATACATAGACAGATGGCAAAGTTGCAAAAGTAAGTGATGTGGTGCGATAAAGACATTTTATTTTGTTACAACTTAATACTTTTAGACGCACTGGTATATGCAAACAACACACACAGTCTCACTCACTTTCACTCTCTTTCACGCACACACACACACACACACACACACACATATATATATATAAGATAAAATATATGGAACATTTATGGAAGAAAAGTTCTCAAAATCACAGAGTATGTAAATATAAGTAGTAGACATAGGTATCGACACCGAATGATGACAGTCTCTTTCATACTTAAGCGCAATATTTCACACTGCTTATCTATCACAGTCTTAACTTATATCTATCTATCTATCTATCTATCTATCTATCTATCTATCTATCTATCTATCTATCTATCTATCTTATCCATCTATCTATCTCATCTATCTTTTCCATCTATCTATCTATCTATCTATCTATCTATCTATCTATCTATCTATCTATCTATCTATCTATCTCATCTCTTTTATCTATATCTATCTATCTATCTATCTCACTCTTTTCATATCTATCTATCTCTATCTATCTATCTATCTATCTATCTATCCTATCTATCTATCCATTTTTCCTATCTATCTATCTATCTATCTATCTTCATTCTATCTATTCATCTATCTATCTATCTATTTCAATTCATATCTATCTATCTATCTATCTATCTATCTATCTATCTATCTATCTATCTATCTCATTCTTTCATTCATCTATCTATCTATCTCACTCTTTTCATATCTATCTATCTATCTATCTATCTATCCTCTATCTATCTATCATCTATCATCTATCTATCTTCTTTTCTTTATCTATCTATCTATCTATCTCTTTTCATCTCTATCTCATTCTGTTCGTATTATCTATCTATCTATCTATCTATCTATCTATCTATCTATCTATCTATATCATTCTGTTCTTTATCTATCTATCTATCTATCTATCTATCTATCTATCTATCTATCTAAGTCTCAACATCTATCTATCTCTGTCTATATCTCTGAGATGAGGTATTATGATTACTTACATTATTTGGACTCTTATCATCATGTCAAGGTACAACGGCCGAAACGTTGTGAATATGGCAATGAAGATCAGGATAACAGTCCGATCATAATCTAAAATCTATCTATCTATCTATCTATCTATCTATCTATCTCATCTATCTATCTATCTATCTATCTATCTATCTATCTATTCAATATCTATCTATCTATCTATCTATCTATCTATCTATCTATCTATCTATCTATCTATCTCAGTCTGTTCATCTATCTATCTATCTATCTATCTATCTATCTATCTATCTATCTATCTCAGTCTATCTATCTATCTATCTATCTATCTATCTATCTATCTATCTATCTATCTATCTATCTATCTATCTATCTATCTATCTATGTTCATATAATAGCAATTGATCCGTAGCCGAACAGTGAATAAAAAGCTAGTAATTTATGCAACTTATCTTCAACATAATCTTCATGTCAACGCACTTAATTCAGTTCATATATTAATCACATAGAGATTGAACATTATACAGTGAAACGTTCAGATCAAAATTCCACTAATAAACGATATCAGGCGATAGACTTTTAGATGTACCTTCGTATAACTTGTACATACAAACGCACACATATTTCTTCCTAATAATATATTCACTGGGTACACGTGCTCAAGTAGGCATTCGCAGTTATTATTATTATTATTATTATTATTATTAAACAGTGAAATTGATATTCACCGGCCCATGGAGTAAGAAGTCTTATTAAAAGAAATATACATCACAACAGGAAACGAACATGTATTTTTCCACATATTTAGCTGAAGTGTGCTCCACAAATGAAACCACAGGTAGTCATCATGTTAAATTGATTGAGAGAATCGTTTTTTACGGTTTATCAACCCTTTACAAGTTATTTAAATCCATAAAATGTTTTTAGATTGTAAGAAATTTTTTTTAGATAAATTTTCTTTTTATTGATAAAAATAAGAATTTGATAAAAAACACAAGAAATTCTAATGTGGATATAAATTGGGGGTTCAATTCTATATTACAATCAATATATAAACTGATCCTTCACTTTGTCACCACGGTAGTTTCTTTATATTTATATTCCAAAGAATGTAAATAAATCTAAACGACATACCTGTGTAGCTAATCAGTATTTGATAAACAAACAAGAAATTATAATGTGGATACAAAATGGGAGATCAATTCTATATCACAATTAATATATAAACTGATCCCTCACTTTATGACCGCCTTAGTTTATATACATTTATATTCCAGAGAATGTAAATAAATCTAAAAGACATGCTTTTTTGATTGATTTGTTTTCTCCGGCTTTGCTGGTTATTTAAAGCCAGAAAATATTTTATGTTTTAAGAATTTTCTTTTTTTTTTTTGAGTGGTGGGGGGAGATAATATTGATTTAGTGATACGAATCTTACTTATTAATCCATAAATAGGAAGAGAAAAGGTGGAATCATATCTTTTCCAAGGTTATTTGCGCGTAAGTGAATATAACCAAAAAGATTCTCCGAATTAACAATCCGAACCATTATCCATTCCACTACCTGCACATCCTTATAGCAGCTGGTATTCCCAAGCAGTCACCCACCTAGCTAGCTACTGACCAAGCACAATGTTGCTTAACTTAAGAAATCGTTCGAGGACCGATGTTTCAATGTGATGTGTGTTTATAAGCCATCACGCTAAAGCAAGGTTCATTTATCTACCTAAGAAAGGCATATCTTGTTGGGACAATTCGAAGTCTATATCTGCTGCTGACATATATATATATATATATATATATATATATATATATATATATATATATATATATTCAACAGCCGGCAAGAAAAGAAGCATATTTTGAGTTGACGTGTATTTTCAAAATAAAATCACACATTGAAGGATTAAATAGGGATTTGGGTTTACTCAGAGAATATAATTTCCACAGGGAGCTCTCTAATCAATAACAACATTCCTCGGAAGAGCGAGTCCCACTTCTTTGTTTTATTACTAGTCTCATTGAAAAAGGACACAAGCGTGCCCGAAAATTCCGACTTTAAAATCTTTCTTTTTATGCTTAGTCAAAATGCTAATATATAATCAATCTTATTACAAATTTGTTATCTTTTTGTTGGCTTCGTCAAATTTTATTAAGCGGCCAATTAAATCTACATATTATAAAGAAGTACACGTGGAACATGCTTCATTTCAATTATATATATATATATATATATATATATATATATATATATATATATGCACATTTCATTGAAAATATGTTAGACATTTTTTATACAAATTCTCATGTGATCTAATAATTTTTTTTCTTTTCAGATGATAAATTATATTAAAAAAACTGTCCAAGAGTTCTTTTATCCGAGCGCTTTCGGCTATACATTTAACCATTTTGAAGGTTGAAATATATTAACTGTTAACAAGAAATATATTGTTGTATGTATGTATTTATATAATGTTTTCATTTTGTCCATGTTCATAGTTGATATTATTGAGTGTTGTTTTTTTGTTTTTTTCAAATGGCTAAATGTATAGTCGAAAACGGTCGGATAAAAAAAACAATTGAACAGTTTTTATATCATTTATCATCTGAAAAGAAAAAGAAATGATTAGATCACATGAGAAATTGTATAAAAACTAAATCAAAAGCACCTTATCTGTCGTATTCAATGAAATATGCATGAAAGAATGATTGCTGCCATAATACACACACACACACACACACATATATATATATATATATATATATATATATGTAGATAATGTATATATATATATATATATATATATATATATATATATATATATATATATATATATATATATATATATAATAAAAACAAAAATCCTTATATACAATTATGTTGTTTTAATTGTAATATGTCAACGTCGGACGTTTCGGTCTAATAAAACATCTTCAGGACATATTCATAAATTATAACATTATCAATACAACATGACAAATACGATAATATATACATAATTGTATATAAGTGATTTTTGTTTGTTTTTTCTATATATTTTTCTTCATACTGTCGGATTATATCCATATTATTTGCTTTTATATATATATATATATATATATATATATATATATATATATATATATATATATATATATATATATATATATATATATATATATATATATATATATATATATATATATATATATATTCATTGTGCGTTTTGGAGGAGATATCGAGAAAATGGGTTTGGTGTTTCACAACTCCTTTCTCACTTCTAAATCCACGCAGACACAAGGTTTTCGTAAAGGAAGCCATCAGCATCACTTGGTTGGCTTGAATCGCGTTTTTCCTTTTTATATTTTCACAAACGCTCATTAATTGATATTGAACACTATTCGTTCATGCATTCTAAACAATATAATTAAATGTATATCAC